ATATGAATTGACCTTAGAACTTGAGCTACATCATATGAATCAGATATATGCTCATCAATGAGTTTGAGTGATTCTCCTTCTTTATAAAGCTTCCATGCCTGTATAATATATATTTAACAATATTGTAAAGAGAAATGATGAATATTCCGCTTACATGAATGAGTAAATTAATATAATTGAATCATCTAAAAATCTTACATGTCCAGGAAGTGTCTCGTATTGATCTTCATTTGAAAATTCGTTATTTCTCTTGCCGCTAACAATCTCTAGTACTAAAACACCAAAGCTAAACACATCTGATTTAACTGAGAAGATCCCATGTGTTGCATATTCCGGAGATATATACCCACTACATTGTATGGTAAACACTCAATGAGTAGATGCATTTAAAAATATAATTAAGAACAAACATACGCAAAAGATGGCTTGCAAAAGTGTTTAAGAGTAAATTGTGATATATTCTTACTGCGTTCCAGCAACTCGTTTTGTATTATCTCCAGTTGCGTTTCCTGCTAAACTTCTAGCCAGACCAAAGTCGGATATTTTTGGGTTTAAGTCAATATCAAGCAAAACATTGCTACTCTTGAGGTCTCTATGGATAATTCTTAGTCGAGAATCTTGATGGAGATACAATAACCCTCGAGCAATTCCATTGATTATATTAAAGCGTTTTAGCCAGTCAAGTAACATTTTTCTTGTTTGATCTGCCAAAGGTTTAAGTTAGTGTTGTTTCAATAATTTCTTATGATTTTGATATAGATGACAAGGTAAACATATATACCAAATATGAAGAAGTCCAAACTTTTGTTAGGCATGTATTCATAGATCAACATCTTTTCTTCCCCGCTAATGCAACACCCCAAAAGCTTGACAAGATTCCGATGTTGTAATTTGGCAATACAAATGACTTCATTCATGAATTCTTCAAGACCTTGCGTGGAATTCTTTGATAGCCTCTTCACAGCTATTTCTTCTCCCCCATCCAATGCACCCTAGGTAATTAAAATAAATAAAATAAGATTATGTACATGCCCATCTAAGAAATTAAAGCTGCATATAATTTTACCTTGTATACAGTTCCAAATCCACCTTGGCCTAACTTGTTCATCACTGAGAAGTTATTTGTAGCTCTTGATATTGTTGACCAATCGAAAACTGGTAGCTCTAATTCTTGCTTCAACTTTTGCTCTTTCCTTTTTGATTTGCAAAAATACAAGAAAAGAGACACCCCAGCAAGAACTATTACAACCAGCATCGACAAACAAAGCACAAGGATTTTTGCTTTCCTCCCCAATGAGCTTGAATGATGTGGTTCTGGTGTTAACCCTGTAGTTCCAAAACAACTTTCTTATTTACACTTTATTATGAGGCATTCAAAGTGAGTATAAACACATTTATTATACCTGGTATTTCAGTAGCAGCCAGTCTGATGTAAATATCTTGCCCATCTGGTATTGTTCTCATATCAACTAAATCATCATACCAAATCAAACACCCACTTCCTCCATTGCTTATATTGAGAGTGGAATAAGCCATACATGTGCAATTCCTCAAGCAAACTCGTTCACATTCTTGAAGGCTCATAGATTCATTATACCAAGAGTGCTTTGTATCTGGCAATTTGATATTAGAATATTTCAAGAATTCATCTGATGAAGATCCATTATTGTGGCAATTCGTCAGGGGTGTTCTCCTATGGCATCCTCCTGACAAGCTTTCTGTTGCATTATCATTAGGCAAAAAATTTTCTAAACATTCACAACTACGGTAATCCTGTATGTTGCAGACGCCATTTCTACCACATAAACCATATGTGTCACAAGTATCTGACGGTAGGCTATGAAAACTCACCCATTGTTTAATCTCATCTTCCCATACCCATGATTTTACAATACCATTGCTTGTAACAAGAAATCTAATTAAACCCAACTCATTACTGATATTATAACAATAATAAACCTCCTTTTTATTTATAACCAGTCCATGTTGGCCAAGCTTGTTGCTCCTGTGTTCTGATGTTACACTAAAGCGCAAACCATTCCATGGACCTGAGCAAAAAATCTCAGTTGTTCCATTCTTGAGAATAAATTGTGGGTATCCTGTAGGATGCAGGTGCAGTGTATATTGGCCTGAAGCGGGGTCATTTTCACTCTTCCAAGCTGTTAAAAAAACCTCATGCGCAGTCTGTAAATTCCACCCAACCTTCATTCCGGGTAAAAAAGTGTCAGTTGGATAATCAAAACTTTGCCAGAGAAAATTCTCGGGGTTTTCATCATCTGCATCTCTCACCACCAGGTTCCCAGTATCCAGCAACTCTGCAACCGGATTTTGCACCGATGATCTTGATGTGTTGGCAGACCAAACAGCCTGACCCTTGTCTCCAACAAGTGAAAGTTGGCCTCCCAGGTTGATCTTCAAGACAGCCGAAGATGTGTTTGCAAGTGGAGCATCTCTGTTTGCAACCCAAACCACTGTCTTAACTGGATCTTGTTTGTACCATATACCTATGTAACGGTTTAAGGAATTGGTGGGGCTAAAGAATCCCATTACGAAGGTTCCACCCTCTGAAATGATGGTGTCCCCTTCTCTAAGAAGTTGGGTTTTAGTAATTAAATCTTTTCCCAAGCAAATATTTTGTATTGAAAGTAAGAAAGCCAAAAGCAAAACGAGCAAAAGAGCTTCCATGGCTACTGAGAGAGTGAGTGCGAGAGAAATTTCTTCAGTAGCCGTAATGAAAGATCAGACAACCAAGACTGCGGGTGGATGCCGGGATCTTTCCGTCAAATTAACGTGTGGAAATATCATATTCTCTTGAGAATAAGTGTGGAAAGTAATACAAAAGTCGCCTTTGGCATCCATGGCATGCGGTTGACAAAACTGTTGCAAATTTATAATTAGAGTTAATATCCAATATAGTACTAGACTATAATGGTTTTCCTCAATTTAGTTCTAAATGACTTTTTATGCTTAATTTAGTCATCAATTTTGATGATTTTATACAATTTAGTCCTTTTGTTAAAAATTCTGCTAGTTGAATATTAGAAATGGGGTACTAATGATAATTTCTCATGGATGATTACTTTTTCTTCCACTTATTAAGATCCATGCATAAATGCAAATTTTCGTACCCAAATCAATTCCAACCCCTTAAGGAAGGAAGATTAGGCAAATATTTATTTTTTTTGCGTCGGTTGAAGTTGATTTGAGTACGAAATTTGCATTTCTATGTGGATTTTAACATGGTGTGTTTGGAAACTCGGAAAATGATTGAGTTTTGAATGTTTGACAAGATGAAAAATTTAAAGTCAATGGAAAATCACTTATTGGTCAATGGAAAAATGCATCATATTTTCAGGAAAAATGACTTCCCCTTTTTTGGGGGGAAGTCATTTTCCTAGCCCTCTCATCACGCGTATCAGCGAATCCATGAAGCTCAGGAAAGAAGAGATCCCGAAATGCAGTGAAATGAAGACTTGGAACGAATCTCCGAGAAACAACGGGTTTTGGCCGGCGAAAATCTCTGGATCGTCTTCTTAGATGCTCCAGGAGATTCGCAGGGCAGGACGACAGGAGCCTTTAGGAGTCGTGGTGGACAGCACATTCTGCTTGGTCAGTGTTTGGAAAGCACAAGTCTCAAATCAGATTCTTGGTGCTCATAATCCATCCAGATTCTCTCTTGTGAGGCGGATCTGGGCGCAACCTTCTGATGAATTTGTCTATCATTTTCATTCCTTCTTCGTTCTCGTTGAACCTGCAGCACTTGAAAGGGCAGTTCATTCTGCCCTCTTCTCATTTTCCAAGGATGAGTTTAAATGTTAATTAAACTAGTGAGTTTAAAATTTAATTAAACAAAATAATATAATTAAAATGTTTAATTATACAATTCAAGTCATTTTCTAGAAAATGAACCAAACACACAAAGACAATTTTTTGTTATGCAGCCAAACACCGGAAAGGAAAATGCTTTCTGGAAAATGACTCATTTTCCAGAAAGCATTTTTCAGAAGTCATTTTTCTCCTTTTCAAATGGACCATTGAGTAAAACCACAATAGTCGGGGACTATATTGAGTATTAACTCTTTATAATTATGATGGTAAAATTTATTGCCCTAAAGACCCTCACACCTCGGGGTCAGCATGATGGTGGAGGGATAAATGTGACTCAAAACTCAAAAGCCTCTTAGGGAGAGGACCAATACCTATTGATCACAAGTAAGGATGTCAATAGGACCAACCCATTCTATTTTAAGCTAGCCCTATTGGGATTTCGGTCCTATCTGTTTTGTTTGGTTGGATTTAAAATTTTTAGCCCTAATTCTAAACCTTGAACTTATCAGGCTAACTCAACTAAAACTTTTAATATTTTTACATCAACATTTTAAACTTTCAATTTTAATAAATTTGTGCGTTTACACTAATAAATATAAACGTATACATCATTTAAACTTTCATTTTCAAATTTCAACTTAAAATAATTAATATACTTACATTATAATACAATAATTATAATATTTTTTTTTATTTTTCATTTTTTATTTTCATAAAAATATTTTATTTTGTAATAAATTTATTAATATATTATTAAAAAATTTAATTTAAAAAAAAATACTAAAGATAGAACTTACACACAAACTCTTTAATTTGTATATTTTATTTTGAATACCCCATCATAAATTTAGTTATAGATTTTGAAGTAATTCAAAATCTGCTTCTACGTAATTGGTCTCAGCATTTCTTCTTTTACCTCATAACTTATAGATTTGGGCAATTATCAGGTATCCATGTCTAAACTTTAATTACACATTACTATATATATAAATCTCCAACGAACACTTCCATGGTGTTATAATTATATGTATTAAAATTGGGTTGTTACTTGTATCATTATACGGGAGTAAAGTTTATCCCATGCATATGCACACTCTCAAAAAGTGATTGCATGTTTTTCCTGTCACCAAAAAAAAAAAAAAAACTATAATTTGCATGACATGATATACCTATACATAAATAATAATGTTCACATTTCTTAACAATAATGTCTGGATGCATTTCAAATTTATAAGCATCAATTCAACATATCATACATTTTTCACAACTTACGTTTTTGTCATATGAGTTTATGCATTCTGAGCGAATTTTAGGATTCTAAGTTATGCATTAATCAACGAGGATCCAATGATGACATTGTGACTTCATTGAGGGAACTTGTTGCATGTTTGCCTGAAGAACTCTCTGAGTTAACAGCAACCCTCCTGCTAACGAAGAAGCCAGGCTCTTTAGGTTGTGACAACACAACGTCATTAACCAACATTTGAACAACAGAAGACATGTTTGGTCTATCTTCAGGAGATTGTTGAACACATAAAAGACCGACGTGAATTGACCTTAAGACTTGAGCTACATCATATGAATCAGATATATGCTCATCAACTAGTGTGAGTGATTCTCCTTCTCTAAAAAACTTCCATACCTGTATAATATATATTTAATAATTAATATTGTAGAGAGAAATGATAGATATTCCGCTTTCATGAATGAGTAAATTAATGGAATCATCATAAATGGAAATCTTACTTACATGCCCAGGAAGGGTCTCATATTGATCTTCATTCGAAAATTTGCTATTTCTCTTGCCACAAACTATCTCTAGTATTAAAACACCAAAGCTAAACACATCTGATTTAACTGAGAAGATCCCATGTGTTGCATATTCAGGAGATATATACCCACTACATTGTATGGCCAACACTCAATGAGTAGATGCATTGAAAATTAAGAACAAACATATGCAAAAGATGAGATATATTCTTACTGTGTTCCAGCAACTCGGTTTGTGTTATCTCCCGTTGAATTTTCTACTATACTCCTAGCCAAGCCAAAGTCTGATATCTTTGGGTTCAAATCAGTATCAAGCAAAACATTACTGGCTTTGAGATCTCTATGGATTATTCTTAGTCGAGAATCTTGATGGAGATATAATAACCCTCGCGCAACTCCATTAATTATGTTGAAGCGTTTTGGCCAATCAAGCAACTTTTTCTTTGTTTGATCTACAAAAGGTTTTAATTTCCTTAGTTTTGTTCCAAAGATTTATAATATAGATTTGGTCATATATAGAGGAGATCAGAAGATAACCATACCAAATATGAAAAAGTTCAAACTTTTGTTCGGCATGTATTCATAGATCAAGATTTTTTCTTCCCCACTAATGCAGCATCCCAAAAGCTTGACAAGATTCCTATGTTGCAATTTGGCAATACAAATAACTTCATTTTTGAATTCCTCAAGTCCTTGTTTGGAATTCTTTGATAGCCTCTTCACAGCTATTTCTTCTCTCCCATCCATTACACCCTAGACAATTAAAAAATTGAAATAAGACTATGTACATGCCCATCCAAGAAATATGTATATACTGTATATTACCTTGTACACAGCTCCAAATCCACCTTGGCCTAATTTGTTCATCTCTGAGAAATTATTTGTAGCTCTTGATACTGTTGACCAATCGAATACAGGTAGCTCAAATTCTTCCTTCAACTTTTGATCTTTCCTTTTTGATTTGCAAATATACAAGAAAAGAGACACCCCAGCAAGAACTATTACAACAAGCATCGACAAACAAAGCACAAGGATTTTTATTTTCCTCCCCAATAAGCTTGAATGATGTGGTTCTGGTTTTAACCCTGTAGTAGTTCCAAAAGAATTTTCTTATTTCCACTTTATTATTATGAGGTTGTCAAAGTGATTATAAACACTGAAAGTATATAATACCTGGTATTTCAGAAGAAGCCAGTCTGATGTACAAATCTTGCCCATTGTATACGGTTCTCATATCAACCAAATCATCATACCAAATCAAACACCCACTTCCTCCATTAGTTATATTGAGAGTGGAATAAGCCATGCAAGAGCAATTCCTCAAGCAAACTTGTTCGCACTCTTGAAGGCTCATAGATTCATTATACCAAGAGTGCTTTGAATCTGGCAATTTGATATCAGAATATTTGAGGAATCCATCCGATGAAGATCCATTATTGTGGCAACTCAGGGGTTTTCTCCTGTGGCATCCTTGTGACATACTTTCTGTGGCTATGGCATTATTATTAGGCAAAAATGTGTCTAAACATACACAAATACGAAATTCATATATGTTGCAGACACCATTTCCACCACATAAACCATATGTGCCACAAGTATCTGATGGTTGGCCACGATTACTCACCCACTGCTTCATCTCATCTTCCCATACCCATAATTTCAGAATACCATTGCTTGTAACAACAAATCTAAATAAACCCAAATCATTGCTGAGATTATACCAAGCATAAACCTCCTTTTTATTTATAACCACTCCATGTGGGCCATTGATGCGGGGGATTCCTCTACTGCTGCTCGGATCTACTGATGTTGCACTAAAGCGCAAACCATTCCATGGACCTAAGCTTAAAACCTCAGTTGTTCCATTGTTGATAATAAGTTGTGGATATCCAGTCGGATCCAGGTGCATTGTATATTGGCCTGAAGCTGGGTCATTTTCACCCTTCCAAGCTGTAAAAAAGACTTCATGGCCAGTCTCTATATTCCACCCAAACTTCATCCCAGGTAACCAATGATCAGTTGGATGATCAAAACTTTGCCAAATAAAATTCTCTGGCTTTTCATCTTCTGCATCTCTCACCACCAGGTTCCCTGAATCCAACAACTCTGCAACCGGATTTTGCACGGATCTTGATGTTTTCACAGACCAAACAGCCTGACCCTTGTCTCCGACAAGTGCAAGTTGGCCTCCCAGCTTGGTGATCTTCAAGACTGTTGAAGATGATGTTTTGGCAAGTGGAGCATCTCTGTTTGCAACCCAAACCACTGTCTGAACAGGAATTTGTTTGTACCAGATTCCTACGTAACGGTTTGGGGAATTGGTGGGGCTAAAAAATCCCATCTCAAATTTCCCACCTTTTGAGATGATGGTATCCCCATCTTTCAGAAATTGCGTTCTTGAAATTAAATCGATATCCTTTCCCAAGCAAATATTTGATATGGAAAGTAAGAAAGCCGACAAAAGCAAAAGGAGTAAAGGAGTTTCCATGGCTACTGAAACAGTGAGCTGAGTGGTAGAGAAATTTTAGTCCTTTAAAATTTCATGAGAATGCCGGAACCTGTATGTAATTTCAATGTCTCATGAAATTTCTAACCAAAACGTGTACGCCATAACAATTAACACCCATTCATCGCCTTGAATATAATTAGAGCTGTCAATTCACCTGCATGCTAAGCTTTAATTTGCATCTTAACAAATTCACCTCTTAAACCCATTATAGACTCTCTTTGAGTCATTCAAAGTTGAAACTATAATTATTAATAAAATAAGTAAATCGATGCCACTATCCCATAAAATATTTCCACTCGGTTAGGTAGGTGCAAATTAAATTGCATTATATTGTTTTTAAGACATACAATAAAGATGACGTCCATTACATCTATCTCAATGTTATTTCAGCTCGATTAATTGAGTGTAAGTTTCATATTCTCTTGCCAATAAGTATGGTGGAGTGGGGGTAGAGGAGGAGTTTGATTGGTGTTTATTTGTGCAATTTTGTGATGCATATATATATTTTGGTCAAATTCGAATATGAATTGTTTCAATATACTAGTGTAAGAACCAGGTACAGTATATATTGGCCTGAAGCTGGATCATTTTCACTCTTCCAGGCAGTAAAAAGAAAAAACCATCATCTGCATGGAGAAGTCCAAACTTTTGTTAGGCATGTATTCATAGATCAACATCTTTTCTTCTCCGCTAATACAATATCCTAGCAGCTTGACAAGATTTCGATGCTGTAATTTGACTATACAAATAACTTCATTCTTGAATTCCTCAATCCCTTGTTTGGATTTCTTTGATAGCCTTTTCACAGCTATTTCTTCTCCCCCATCCAATGCACCCTAGGCAATTAAACTAAATAAAATAAGATTATGTACATACATGCCCATCAAAAAAAGATGCATATATTTTTACCTTGTACACTACTCCAAATCCACCTCGGCCTAATTTATTTATCTCTGAAAAATTATTTGTTGCTCTTGATATTGTCGACCAATCGAATATTGGTAACTCTAATTCTTGCTTCAACATTTGTTCTTTCCTTTTCCTTTTGTAGAAATAGAAGAAAAGATACACCGCAGCAACAACTATTACAACCAGCAGCGACAAACAAAGTACAAGGATTTTTACTTTCCTCCCTAATGAGGTTGAATGATGTGGTTCTGGTTTTAACCCTGTAGTTCCAAAAGAATTTTCTTATTTCTACTTTATTATGAGCTTGTGAAAAGTGATTATAAACACATCATATCAATTATACCTGGTATTTCAGAAGAAGCCAATCTGATATACAAATCTTGCCCATTCTGTACTGTTCTCATATCAACCAAATCTTCGTACCAAATCAAACAACCACTTCCTCCATTGTTTATATTGAGAGTGGAATAAGCCATACAAGAGCAATTCCTGAAGCAAACTTGTTCACACTCTTGAAGGCTCATAGATTCATTATACCAAGAGTGCTTTGTATCTGGCAATTTGATATCAGAATATTTGAGGAATCCATCTGATGAAGATCCATTATTGTGGCAATTCATGGGTTTTCTCCTATGGCATCCTTGTGACAAACTCTCTGGTGCATTATTATTGGGCAAAAATTTGTCCAAACATCCACAACTACGATAATCATGTATGTTGCAGACACCATTTCTACCACATAAACCATATGTGTCACAAGTATCTGACGGTTGGCTATGAAAACTCACCCATTGTTTGATCTCATCTTCCCATGTCCATGATTTTATAAAACCATTGCTTGTTAAAATAAATCTCAATAAACCCAAATTATTACTGGGATTACTCCAAAAATAAACCTCCTTTTTATTTATGGAAAATGACACTTCTTCCCCCACAAAGTTATATACTTATAGCACTTTCTCCTCCTAAATTATTCAAGTGGCTGTTTTTCCCTCTGAAATGTTAAATGGACATATATACCCTTAAAATAAATATTTAAAATAAATATTTTATTTATTTTACTTCTCGAACAAATTATGACAATAATTTGGTTCAAACCAAACAAACACTATAGCAACCAAACCGAAATATTCCAATTACAATTTAGAATCGAAACTCGATATTTAGAGTTTATTAAAATCGCGAACCGGAACGGACGATTCATGTTCCGAACTGAAAAAATAAAATACATTTATTGTTGAATTTAGACTATTTAAAATAAAAAATAAAATTTTAAAATAAAGACGGTTCAAAATCGCGAACCGGATCCAGAACCGCCGATTCACGGTTCAAGATCCAATTTTTTTAATTCATAATTTTAATAAATTGAAATCCAAATATTAGGTTCTAGATCTGAATCATAACCGGAAACTTTTAATTCAATTGCTATAATGTCCAGTTCAGTTTGATCTGAACCGTGGTCATCCCTACGTATACGCGATAATTTGTTGGAGAAGTAAAATAAATAAAATGTTTACTTTAAGGGTAGAAATATCAATTTAATATATCAGGGGAAAAAACCACCACTTTTAGAATAATTGAGGGGACTAATGTGCTTACCTAAATAATTGAGAAGGAAAAATGACTATAAGTATATAACTCAGAGGGAAAAAGTGTCATTTTCCCTTTTATTTATAACCACTTCTTGTGGGCCAAGGTAGGTGCTGCTCTGTTCAACTGGTGCTATACTAAAGCGCAAGCCATTCCATGGACCTGAGCTAAAAATCTCAGTTGTTCTATTCTTGAGACTAAGTTGTGGATATCCAGTAAGATCCGGGTGCAGTGTATATTGGCCTGAAGCTGGGTCATTTTCACCCTTCCAAGCTTCATTCCAGGTAACCACTGATCAGTTGGATGATCAAAACTTTGGCAGAGAAAATTCTGGGGGTTTTCATCTTCCGCATCTCTCAGCACCAGGTTCCCTGAATCCAACAACACTGCAACCGGATTTTGCACCGATCTTAATGTTTTCACAGACCAAGCACCAGGTTCCCTTTTCCCCTTAATTAAAGCTGTCAATTCACGACCTTTTCCCAAAAAGTTGAATCTACAATTCCAATGTCCTTTACATCCCGACCTGAGTATTTGAAGGATGTAAATTATGATAACTTAGTATCGGTGCACACCAAAAATCTGTCTACTTTGAGCATAACCTCACACTGCGGCTGTCGAGATTCGAATCTTGTTGATAGTTGTGAATTCACAATCGGCATTGCCAACTAAATATTTCTTGGGTTAGATTGTGAATAATGACACATGATCGAGCTAGACATATAGGGTGTTTGACAAATAGGGATAGCGGATAGCTAATAGCGGTTAGCGAATTGAATTAATGAGTTTGACTAGGTAGCTGATTATTAAAAAAAAAACTATTTAATAAAAATTAATTGTTAGTTGATAACTGATTACATGTAAAATGATCTTTAAATGTATGAGTGTAATAATAATAATAATAATAATAATAATAATAATAATAAATGCAGTTGATATGACTTTAACGCACTTTGACTTTTTTTTTTTTTTTGAATGCTACTGGCCCTATTACATTGTAGTATTGTTAGTTGATAACTGATTACATGTAAAATGATCTTTAAATGTATGAGTGTTTTATTTTTTTTGAATGCTACTGGCCCTATTACAACTTTAACGCACTTTGACTATTTTTTTTTTTTTTTTGAATGCTACTGGCCCTATTACATTGTAGTATCTGTTCATATACTTTCTCAACCTACTGAAACACAAAGAGCCAATAACGCCTCCACTGAGGCTCGAACTCACAACCTTCCAAATGGAAGTCCAACCCGAATACCATTAGACCACATAGTCCTGGTAACGCACTTTGACTTGAATGAGCATAACCAACCAAAAACCACAAAGAGATAATAACCTGCAGTCTAGACTCTAAATTATTACTATAGAGAGTTTAACTTAACTTTGTCCCAATCAACTTAGTTAGGAGTTGTCCTTTTTTTGAAATCCTAGTACTACAGGTGTTTGGTTGAAGGGATTTTAAATTCCCTTCTTACTTAATTCCTACCTAATTCCAAAGGCCATTAAATTCCGTAGTTTGGTTGGAGGGACCCATTTTCATGGAATTAAAATCGCATGTCCCCCCTGGAATTTTAATTCCTGGGAAAAAAAGATAGTGATGAGTTAAAATTACCCCTTCCTTTTTTAACTTGAAATTAATGTCTAACAACAATAATGGACATTTTTGACTTTATACTACTTATTCCCTTTCAATTCCCATGTATACCAAACATTGGAATTAAAATTCCCAGTAATTCTATTCCTGTCAACCAAACACTGGAATTTAAATTCTCACTTTATTCCCAGTAATTCAACTCCCATGGAATTACAATTCATTTCCCACATAATTCCCCCTTCCAACCAAACGCCCTGTTAGGATTTATTGTATCGAACAATTTTATTCCTTTGTGATTTTAAAATTTGGTTGTTAAATGACATGATAATGTGATACACATGCAAAAATAATGTTCACATTTCATAATTCTTATTGATGTCTGCATTTCAAATTTGTAAGCATCAATATAATTGATATAACAAGGATATCTTTTGCTATCTAAGTTTTCTCCAAATTGAGTATAAATAAATGATAAATCTAAATTATACATTCAACGAGGACTCAATATCGTAATAGTAATTTCATTTAGGGAACTTTTTGCATGTGTGCGTGGAGGACATTCCTTACCAAAGAAGAAGCCAGGCTGTTTAGCTTGAGGCAATGCAAAATCATTAACCAACATCTGAACTACAGAAGACATGTCTGGTCTATCCTCTGGAGATTGTTGTACACATAGAAGGGCGACATGGATTGACCGTAGAACTTGAACTACATCATATGGACCAGCTATATCCTTATCAACCAGTGCAATTGATTTTCCTTCTCTATAAAGCTTCCATGCCTATATAGTATTTAAATTCATATATACAAAGAAAAATGGAATATATAATCTAGACAAGAAAGAATGAATTAATTGAGACATAAAATGGAACACTTACATGTTCAAGAAGAGTCATGTACTGATCTTCATTGATAAACTCATTATTTCTCCTACCACTGACTATCTCAAGTACTGAAATGCCAAAGCTAAACACATCCGATTTAACGGAAAAGATTCCATGCCCGGCATATTCTGGAGACATATACCCACTACATAGTATAGGTGATACCTAATGAGAGGATGACATGAAACAAACATATGCAATAGATGTAGTGTAGTAGAAGATCTTAAGATGAAAATCAAATTCTTACTATGTTCCAGCAACTCGTTTTGTGTTATCTCCCATTGCATTTCCTACTATACTCCTAGCCAAGCCGAAGTCTGATATCTTTGGATTCAAATCAATATCAAGCAAAACATTACTAATTTTGAAATCTCTATGGATTATTCTTAGTCGGGAATCTTGATGGAGATATAATAACCCTCGTGCAACTCCATTAATTATGTTGAAGCGTTTTGGCCAATCAAGCAACTTTTTCTTTGTTTGATCTGCAAAAGGTTTTCCTTAGTTTTGTTCCAAAGATTTATAATATAGAAGTGGTTATATAGTGGAGAAGATAACCATACCAAATATGAAAAAGTCCAAACTTTTGTTAGGCATGTACTCATAGATCAACATTTTTTCTTCTCCCCTAATGCAGCATCCCAGAAGCTTGACAAGATTCCTATGTTGCAATTTAGCAATGCAAATAACTTCATTCTTGAATTCTTAAAGTCCTTGTTTGGAATTCTTTGATAGCCTCTTAACAGCTATTTCTTCTCCCCCATCCAATGCACCCTAAGCATTTCAAATAAATAAAATAAGATTATGTACTTGCCCATTCAAGAAAGATGGGTTCGATTCCCACAAGTGACGATTTCCTTTGGGCTAGTCCTGTGCCTCCCGGAACGAACGGGAATTAGTCGGGTGGATCTGGACCGTTAAACGGACAGAGAAAGATCCGGACCACCTCGTGGTTTACACACCAAAATAAATAAATAAATAAATAAAAATAAAAGAAGGATGCATCTACTTTTACCTTATACACAACTCCAAATCCTCCTTGACCTAATTTGTTCATCTCTGAAAAATTATTTGTAACTCTTGATATTGTTGACCAATCAAATATTGGTAGCTCTAGTTCTTGCTTCAATTTTTGTTCTTTCCTTTTTCTTTTGCAGAAGTACAAGAAAATATACACCCCAGCAAGAACTATTACAACCAGCAGCGACAAACAAAGCGCAAGGATTTTTATTTTACTCCTGAATGAGGTTGAATGATATGGCTCTGCTTTTAACCCTGTAATTCAAAAAAACTTCTCTTATTTCTTCACTTTTTAAAGGAAAAATGATCAAATAGGTCCTCAAACATTTGTTAAAGAGTCAATTAGCCCTCCCAACTCTTTAAAGGTGCAATTACACCCATAAACAATGCATTTTGATGCAATAAAGCTCAAATACATATAGATGACCTGCTATCATAGGTCATTGAAGATCCAGTCATTTTTCGACGTATTTTCAGGCAAAAAGGTGACCGTCGACCGTCGAACGTCGAACGGTCGCCCGTCACGGACTCCGATAACCATTGTGGTCACCTTCTCGCCAGAAAAGGCAACCCAGATCTGGGTTGCCTTCTCTGGTTGAGAAAGCCACCACTGTGGTGGTCTCCTCGACTGGAGAAGGTGACCACAGTGGTCACCGGAGTTCGTGACCGGCGACTATTCGACGGTAGCCAGTCACTTTTTTGTCAGAAAATACGTCGGAAAATGGTCGGATCTTTAATGACACATAATAGCATGTCATTTAGCTGTATTTGGGCTTCATTGCATCAAAATGCATTGTTGATGGGTGTAATTGCACCTTTAAAAAGTTGGAGGGGCTAATTGACTCTTTAACAAATGTTTGAGGGCTTATTTGACCCTTTCCCCTTTTTTTAACTATGAGAAAAATTCACAACCATTACACATTGGATAAACTTTTCCTTGTGACCTTAGACGGTAAAGGACCACAAGAAGATAAATCACCTTAAATTGTTCATAGTTGATTGACTTGAATTAAAAAGTTTAGTAGGCCTCTCCCACGGAAAATCAAACTTAGAATTTTATAATTACTAAGCCAACAGTTTGATCAACTTGGCTGAGTTGCTTCCTAATTTCTCTTATTTCTACTTTATTGTCAGGCTGTCAAACTGATAATAAACACATTAACTATACCTGGCATTTCTGGCATTTCAGAAGTAGCCAATCTGATGAACATATCTTGCCCATTATGTACTGTTCTCATATCAACCAAATCTCCATACCAAATCAAACACCCACTTCCTCCATTGCTTATATTGAGAGTGGAATAAGCCATACAAGAGCAATTCCTCAAGCAAACTCGTTCACATTCTTGAAGGCTCATAGATTCATTATACCAAGACTGGTTTGTATCTGGCAATTTGATATTTGAATATTTGAGGAATCCATCTGATGAAGATCCATTCTTGTGACAATTCAGGGGTTTTCTCCTATGGCATCCTCGTGACAAGGTTCCTGTGACTGTGGCATTATTATTAGGCAAAAATTTGTCTAAACATACACAACCATGAAATTGCTGTATGTCGCAGACACCATTTCCACCACATAAACCATATGTTCCACAAATATCTGCAGGTTGGCTACGATAACTCACCCATTGCTTGATCTCATCTTCCCATACCCATGCTTTTAGAAAACCATTACTTGTAACAACAAATCTTTATAAACCCAAATCATTACTGGGATTGTACCAATAATAAACCTCCTTTTTATTTATAACCACTTCTTGTGGGCCAAGGTTGTTGATGTTCTGTTCTACTGTTATTACACTAAAGCGCAAACCATTCCATGGACCTGAGCTACTGTTATTACACTCATTATTTCTCCTACCACTGACTATCTCAAGTACTGAAATGCCAAAGCTAAACACATCCGATTTAACTGAAAAGATTCCATGCCCGGCATATTCTGGGGACATATACCCACTACATAGTATAGGTGATACCAAATGAGAGGATGACATGAAACAAACATATGCAATAGATGTGTAGTAGAAGATCTTAAGATAGAAATTCGAATTCTTACTCTGTTCCAGCAACTCGTTTTGTGTTATCTCCCATTGCATTTCCTACTATACTCCTAGCCAAGCCAAAGTCTGATATCTTTGGATTCAAATCAATATCAAGCAAAACATTACTAACTTTGAGATCTCTATGGATTATTCTTAGTCGGGAATCTTGATGGAGATATAATAACCCTCGCGCAACTCCATAAATTATGTTGAAGCGTTTTGGCCAATCAAGCAACCTTTTTTTTGTTTGATCTGCCAAAGGTTTAAGTTAGTTTTGTTTCAATAATTTCCAGTAATTTGGATATAGATGACAAGGTAAACATACCAAATATGAAGAAGTCCAAACTTTTGTTATACATGTATTCATAGATCAACATCTTTTCTTCCCCGCTAATGCAGCACCCCAAAAGCTTGACAAGATTTCGATGCTGTAATTTGACAATACAAATGAGTTCATTCTTGAATTCCTGAAGTCCTTGTTTAGAATTCTTTGATAGCCTCTTCACAGCTATTTCTTCTCCCCCATCCAATGCACCCTAGGCAATTGAAATAAATAAAATAAGATTATGTACATGACCATCCAAGAAAGATGCATATACTTTTACCTTGTACACAGCTCCAAATCCACCTTGACCTAATTTGTTCATCTTTGAGAAGTTATTTGTAGCTCTTGATATTGTTGACCAACCGAATATTGGTAGCTCTAATTCTTGCTCCAGCTCCAACTTTTGTTCTTTCCTTTTTCTTTTGCAGAAATACAAGAAAAGATACACCCCAGCAAGAACTATTACAACCAGCAGCGACAAACAAAGCGCAAGGATTTTTATTTTCCTCCTGAATGAGGTTGAATGATGTGGTTCTGCTTTTAACCCTGAAGTTCAAAAAAACTTCTTTTATTTCTTATTTTTTTTAATGATGAGAAAAATCCGTAACCATTACATAAAGGTGTGCACGGGGTAAACCTTCCTTGTGACCTTAGGTGGTAAAGGAACAAAAGAAGATAAACAAGCTTAGATTGACTTAAACTAAGAAAGTCAGTAGGCCTCTCTCACAGAAAGACCAACTTAGAACATTGTAGTTACTAAGCCAACAATCTGATCAACTTGACTGGATTGCTTCCATCCTCTCTTATTTCTACTTTATTGTCAGGTACCTGGCATTTCAGAAGCAGCCAATCTGATGAACATATCTTGCCCATTCTGTACTGGTCTCATATCAACCAAATCTCCATACCAAATCAAACACCCACTACCTCCATTGCTTATATTGAGAGTGGAATAAGCCATACAAGAGCAATTCCTGAAGCAAACTTGTTCACACTCTTGAAGGCTCATAGATTCATTATACCAAGACTGCTTTGTATCTGGCAATTTGATATCAGAATATTTGAGGAATCCATCTGATGAAGATCCATTATTGTGGCAATTCAGGGGTTTTCTCCTATGGCATCCTCGTGACAAGCTTCCTGTGGCTGTGGGATTATTATTAGGCAAAAAATTGTCTAAACATACACAACCTCAAAATTGTCTAAACATACACAACCTGTGGCTGTCGCAGACACTATTTCCACCACATAAACCGTATGCGCCACAAGTATCTGATGGTTGGCTACGATAACTCACCCATTGGTTCATCTCATCTTCCCATACCCATGATTTTATAATACCATTGCTTGTAACAACAAATCTAATTAAACCCAAAACATTATTGGGATTATACCAAACATAAACCTCTTTTTTATTTATAACCAGTCCATGTGCGCCAAGGTTGCTGCTGCTCTGTTCACTTGATGTTACACTAAAGCGCAAACCATTCCATGGACCTGTGCTAAAAACCTCAGCTGTTCCATTCTTGATAATAAGTTGTGGGTATCCAGCAGGATCCAGGTGCAGTGTATATTGGCCTGAAGCTGGGTCATTTTCACCCTTCCAAGCTGTAAAAAAAACCTCATGACCAGTCTGTAAGTTCCACCCAAGCTTCATTCCGGGTAACCAATGATCAGTTGGATAATCAAAACTTTGCCACAGAAAATTCTGCAGCTTTTCATCATCTGCATCTCTCACCACAAGGTTCCCAGTATCCAGCAACTCTGCAACCGGATTTTGCACCGTTGATCTTGATGTGTTCGCGGACCAAACAGCCTGACCTTTGTCTCCAAGAAGTGAAAGTTGGCCTCCCAGGGTAATCTTCAAGGCTGCTGAAGTTGTGTTAGCAAGTGGAGCATCTCTGTTTGCAACCCAAACCACTGTCTGAACAGGAATTTTTTTGTACCAGATTCCTACATATCGGTTTGAGGAATTGGTGGGACTAAAAAATCCCATCACAAAGGTTCCACCTTTTGAGATGATGGTATCCCCATCTTTCAGAAATTGCGTTCTTGAAATTAAATCGATTTCCTTTCCCAAGCAAATATTTGATATCGAAAGTATGATCAAAGCTGGTAAAAGAACTTCCATGGCTACTACAGAAAGAGAGTGGTAGAGGAACTTTTAGAATAGGCGAAAATGAAGATCAGACAATCAAGACCTCGTGTAAATGCAGGGAGCGATCTTTCCCTAGTAATGTGTCTTTGACTGATTTGTATCTTAACAAATTGACCTATTAAACCCATTATAATTCTTTTGGAGTGATCAAGGAAATTCGATGTGCACTGAATAAATTTCATATGATGAACCAAGTCAACAAATGACTACAATGTGATAAACAGTCTATATTGAATATTGGTAGCATCACACTATTGATCCTTCAATTTTAATATTTTATTATTTATTTTTAAAATTGTAATTTCACAATTGCTCAACATTATAGTAATGGATAAAAATCATGACTCCCTTATATTAAACAATCAAAACATACCACATATTAAAAAATTGAAAATCACAACTAGAAATTATTGAATTTCTGACCACCTGAATATGATCTTAAATCAAGTTGAAAGCAAAAAGTGGTCGGAAATAGCAACAAGGGTTTTTCCGGATACCAAAAGTGGTCGGAACAAGACTTTCGACTTGATTTAAGATAACTTTCAGATGGTCGGAAATTTCAAAATTTCCAGTAATGAATGAGAATATAGAATAAAAGTACATATAGAATTACTCCTTCTGGGATGCAAATTTCCTTGGTTGGTGACCAAAAAAAGAGTTGGGAGGACTAGTCAACTTTGGCGGATTGATTCTGATGACAAGAAGCTGAGTGCATGTAAATGTCGGGTGGTCCTCTTAATTTCCTCAAAGCGTGTCTTAAATGTCCCATGAAATTTCAAACCGACGCCCATTAGAGCTATCAATTCTTGACATGTTTTGGTTTATGCTTATCAAATCATGATTCATGAAAGCCAAGGGCACCTATTACGCTTTGGATCTTAACAAATTCACCTCTTAAACCCAGTATGTTATTTAGATTTTGAGCAACTAACTAACATATGCACGAGGAATAAATGTGTACGTAGTTGAAGATCTTAAGATGAAATTTAAATTCTGAGACAATTTAAGGAATCTAAGTTATGCATTAATCAACGAGGACCCAGTGATGACATTGTTACTTCATTAAGGGAACTTGTTGCATGTTTGGCTGAAGAACTCTCTGAGTTAAAAACAGCCCTTCTCCCAACGAAGAAGCCAGGCTCTTTAGGTTGAGGCAACGCAGCGTCATTAACCAGCATCTGAACAACAGAAGACATGTTTGGTCTATCTTTTGAAGATTGTTGCACACATAAAAGACCAACATGAATTGACCTTAGAACTTGAGTCACATCATATGAATCAAATATATGCTCATCAACGAGTTTGAGTGATTCTCCTTCTTTATAAAGCTTCCATGCCTGTATAATATATATTTAACAATATTGCAGAGAGAAATGATGAATATTCAGCTGACATGAATGAGTAAATTAATGGAATCATCTAAAAATCTTACATGTCCAGGAAGTGTCTCGTATTGATCTTCATTTGAAAATTCGTTATTTCTCTTGCCGCTAACAATCTCTAGTACTAAAACACCAAAGCTAAACACATCTGATTTAACTGAGAAGATCCCATGTGTTGCATATTCCGGAGATATATACCCACTACATATATGGTAAACACTCAATGAGTAGATGCATTTAAAAATATAATTAAGAACAAACATATGCAAAAGATGGCTTGCAAAAGTGTTTAAGAGTAAATTGTAATATATTCTTACTGGGTTCCAGCAACTCGTTTTGTATTATCTCCAGTTGCGTTTCCTACTAAACTTCTAGCCAGACCAAAGTCGGATATTTTTGGGTTTAAGTCAATATCAAGCAAAACATTGCTACTCTTGAGGTCTCTATGGATAATTCTTAGTCGAGAATCTTGATGGAGATACAATAACCCTCGAGCAATTCCATTGATTATGTTAAAGCGTTTAAGCCAGTCAAGCAACTTTTTTCTTGTTTGATCTGCCAAAGGTTTAAGTTAGTGTTGTTTCTATAATTTCTTATGATTTGGATTATTGGATATAGATGACAAGGTAAACATACCAAATATGAAGAAGTCCAAACTTTTGTTAGGCATGTATTCATAGATCAACATCTTTTCTTCCCCGCTAATGCAGCACCCCAAAAGCTTGACAAGATTTCGATGTTGTAATTTGGCAATACAAATGACTTCATTCATGAATTCCTCAAGACCTTGCGTGGAAATCTTTGATAGCCTCTTGACAGCTATTTCTTCTCCCCCATCTAATGCACCCTAGGTAATTAAAATAAATAAAATAAGATTATGTACACGACCCATCTAAGAAATTAAAGCTGCATATAATTTTACCTTGTATACAGTTCCAAATCCACCTTGGCCTAACTTGTTCATTTCTGAAAAGTTATTTGTAGCTCTTGATATTGTTGACCAATCGAAAATTGGTAGCTCTAATTCTTGCTTCAACATTTGCTCTTTCCTTTTTGATTTGCAAAAATACAAGTAAAGAGACACCCCAGCAAGAACTATTACAACCAGCATAGACAAACAAGGCACAAGGATTTTATTTTTACTCCCCAATGAACTTGAATGATGTGGTTCTGGTTTTAATCCTGTAGTAGTTCCAAAAGAATTTTCTTATTTACACTTTATTATGAGGCTTTCAAAGTGAGTATAAACACATTTACTATACCTGGTATTTCAGTAGCAGCCAGTCTGATGTATATGTCTTGCCCATTCGGTATTGTTCTAATATCAACTAAATCATCATACCAAATCAAACACCCACTTCCTCCATTGCTTATATTGAGAGTTGAATAAGCCATACAAGAGCAATTCCTCAAGCAAACTCGTTCACACTCTTGAAGGCTCATAGATTCGTCATACCAAGAGTGCTTTGTATCTGGCAATTTGATATCAGAATATTTGAGGAATCCATCCGATGAAGATCCATTATTTTGGCAACTCAGGGGTTTTCTCCTGTGGCATCCTTGTGACAAGCTTGCTGTGGCTGTGGCATTATTATTAGGCAAAAATGTGTCTAAACATACACAAATACGAAATTGATATATGTTGCAGACACCATTTCCACCACATAAACCATATGTACCACAAGTATCTGATGGTTGGCCCCGATTACTCACCCACTGCTTCATCTCATCTTCCCATACCCATAATTTCAGAATACCATTGCTTGTAACAACAAATCTAAATAAACCCAAATTATTACTGGGATTATACCAAACATAAACCTCTTTTTTATTTATAACCATTCCATGTTGGAAATTGATGAGGGGGCTGATTCTGGTGCTGCTGGTTGCACTAAAGTACAAACCATTCCATGGACCTGAGCTAAAAATCTCAGTTGTTCCATTCTTGATAATATATTGTGGATATCCAGTAGGATCCAGGTGCAGTGTATATTGGCCTGAAGCTGGGTCATTTTCACCCTTCCAAGCTGTAAAAAAGATTTCATGGCCAGTCTGTATATTCCACCCAAACTTCACCCCAGGTAACCAATGATCAGTTGGATGATCAAAACTTTGCCAAAGAAAATTCTCCGGGTTTTCATCTTCTGCATCTCTCAGCACCAGGTTCCCTGAATCCAACAACTCTGCAACCGGATTTTGCACGGATCTTGATGTGTTCACAGACCAAACAGGCTGACCCTTGTCTCCGAGAAGTGCAAGTTGGCCTCCCAGCTTGGTGATCTTCAACACTGTTGAAGATGATGTGTCGGCAAGTGGAGCATCTCTGTTTGCAACCCAAACCACCGTCTGAACAGGAATTTGTTTGTACCAGATTCCTACGTAACGGTTTGAGGAATTGGTGGGGCTAAAAAATCCCATCTCAAATGTCCCACCTTTTGAGATGATGGTATCCCCATCTTTCAGAAATTGCGTTCTTGAAATTAAATTATCGATATGCTTTGCCAAGCAAATATTTGATATTGAAAGTAAGAAAACCGACAAAAGCAAAAGGAGTAAAAGAGTTTCCATGGCTACTGCTAGCTGGAGGAATGCTTTGAATTGAATATGATAAGACGAATAAACCACCAAGATTCCTAAGTCCTAACTCTAGCGGCGTGGTTTATTAGCAATATTAGGTGTATGATGTGGTTAATAACTTGAAAATTTGGGTTTTAGTAATTAAATGGTTCTCCAAGTGTTGGATGGAGACCAATAAAGGGTCAAATCCAGTAACTGGTGGTTAAGAAATTGTTGGGATGGAGGAGATCCATGAAAGGTAAGTCTAGCACCTTTCTCTCGAAAATGTGATGGTGAAAATAAAATTATGTTTTCGCTATGAATTATAACATTTAGCTAGTAAGCCCTTGATCCAATCACCAAATAAATGTTTGATATTGAAAGAAAGGGAAATGCAAAAGAAGTAAAATAGCATCCATGGCTAATGATAGAGTGGTTGAGGAATTTTGAGGTGAAAATGAAGATCAAACACCCAATTAAAGAGTCAAGAGTGCGTGTAATTGCGGGTAACTTTCCATGAAAACGTGTCTTGACTTCATGATGTTTGTAGCCAACGATCATAGGCCGTAACAGCGGTTCATCCCCTTCGATTAGAGCCGTCAAATCAAGACATCATTTAGTTTAGGCTGCCCTTACAATGAGTCGATATCACCTCCACTGAGATTCAAATTCATAAACTTTCGTTTGAAAAAGTCACTTATGCCATTAAATCATTAGCAAATAAATAAGAATTTAATTACAAAGTAATCTGGTTAAATTATTTTGACAACGTTTGGAACGATTAAGGTATTAATTTTGACAATGTAATGGAGTCAGTACCATTCAAAAAATGTATTAATTTTTTAAAAAATAAAATTGAAAATCATGTGCTAAATTGTATCTTAGATAAAAATTGAGTGGCTAAAAGTGTGATTTTTTAATATGTATATATAATTAACTTTTATTTATGCTAATAAATAATGTTTATATTAAAGATGTATCATTTTTTTTTAAATAATTGATGGTAATTATGATTTTTCAAGATGAAATGCTATTTGTACGTATTCGAATATATATAAACAAACATAAATATAATAAGCGAATCCATCTCAATATCTCATTAAATATTTATACTTTTTTTGAATGCCATTAAATATTTATACTTAAGTAAGTGCAATTTACGTTGTTTATAAGAAAAATAGGAAATAAATGTGGTTGACATGACTTTATTACTGAGCTTCCAAGAAAAATTTAAATCACAAAGAGGCGAAGTAACCAACCTAGATTATTCCTACATAGAGTCTAACCTGAAACTTTGTCCAAATTAACTTGGCTTGGAGTTGTCCTAATCTTTTGTGAAATCCTAGTATTTGGGAGTTATTTTATTGAATAATTTTATTCAAGTTAATTCCTTTGTGTTATATTAAAATTGGGTTGTTAAATGACATGATACACATATTCAAAAATAATAATGTTCACATTTAATTTCTTATTGATGCATTTCAAATTTGTAAGCATCAATTGATATAACTACAATATCCGTACTATCTAAGCTTTATCCATATTGAGTGTAAATAAATTTAAATTATACATTCAACGAGGACTCAATGTCGTAATAGTAACTTCATTTAGGGAACTTTTTGCATGTTTGCTTGAAGGATATTCTTCGCCAAAAAAGAAGCCAGGCTATTTAGCTTGAGGTAATGCAAAATCATTAATCAACATTTGAACTACAGAAGACATGTCCGGTCTATCCTTTGGAAATTGCTGCACACATAAAAGGCCGATATGAATTGACCGTAGAACTTGAACTACATCACATGAACCAGCTATATGTTCATCAACCAGTGCAATTGATCTTCCTTCTCTGTAAAGCTTCCATGCCTATATAGTATTTAAAATCATACAAAGAAAAATGGAATATTCTAGATAGACAAGAAAGAAAGAATTAATGGAAACATATATATTGAAACACTTACATGTTCAGGAAGAGTCAGGTATTGATCATCATTGACAAATTCACTATTTCTCCTACCACTGACTATCTCAAGTACTGAAATGCCAAAGCTAAATACATCCGATTTAACTGAAAAGATTCCATGTCCGGCATATTCTGGAGACATATACCCACTACACAGTATAGGTGTATTAAATGAGAGGATGCCATGAAACAAACATATGCAATAGATGTGTTATAGAAGTTCTTAAGATGAAATTCAAATTCCTACCGTGTTCCAGCAACTCGTTTTGTGTTATCTCCAGTTGCATTTCCATCTATACTTCTAGCCAAGCCAAAATCAGATATCTTTGGATTCAAATTAGTATCAAGCAAAACATTACTAGCTTTGAGATCTCTATGGATTATTCTTAATCGAGAATCTTGATGGAGATATAATAACCCTCGCGCAACTCCATTAATTATGTTGAAGCCATTTGGCCAATTTAGCAACTTTTTCTTTGTTTGATCTACAAAAGGTTTTCCTTAATTAGTCTTGTTCCAAAGATTTATAAAATAGATTTGGTTATATAGTGGAGAAGATAACCATACCAAATATGAAGAAGTCCAAACTTTTGTTTGGCATGTATTCATAAATTAACATTTTTTCATCTCCGCTAATGCAACATCCTAGAAGCTTGACAAGATTTCGATGCTATAATTTGGCTATACAAAGAACTTCATTCTTGAATTCCTCAATCCCTTGTTTGGAGTTCTTTGATAGCCTTTTCACAGCTATTTCTTCTCCCCCATCCAATGCACCTTAGGCAATTAAACTAAATAAAATAAGATTATGTACGTACATGCCCATCAAAAAAAGATGCATATATTTTTACCTTGTACACTACTCCAAATCCACCTTGGCCTAATTTATTTATCTCTGAGAAATTATTTGTTGCTCTTGATATTGTCGACCAATCGAATATTGGTAACTCTAATTCTTGCTTCAACATTTGTTCTTTCCTTTTACTTTTGTAGAAATAGAAGAAAAGATACACCGCAGCAACAACTATTACAACCAGCTGCGACAAACAAAGCACAAGGATTTTTACTTTCCTCCCTAATGAGGTTGAATGATGTGGTTCTGGTTTTAACCCTGTAGTTCCAAAAGAATTTTCTTATTTCTACTTTATTATGAGCTTGCGAAAAGTGATTATAAACACATCAATTATATACCTGGTATTTCAGAAGAAGCCAGTCTAATATACAAATCTTGCCCATTCTGTACTGTTCTCATATCAACCAAATCTTCGTACCAAATCAAACAACCACTTCCTCCATTGTTTATACTGAGAGTGGAATAAGCCATACAAGAGCAATTCCTGAAGCAAACTTGTTCACACTCTTGAAGGCTCATAGATTCATTATACCAAGAGTGCTTTGTATCTGGCAATTTGATATCAGAATATTTGAGGAATCCATCTGATGAAGATCCATTATTGTGGCAATTCAGGGGTTTTCTCCTATGGCATCCTCCTTTTTATTTATAACCACTTCTTGTGGGCCAAGGTAGGTGCTGCTCTGTTCTACTGGTGCCATACTAAAGCGCAAGCCATTCCATGGACCTGAGCTAAAAATCTCAGATGTTCTATTCTTGAGACTAACTTGTGGATATCCAGTAAGATCTAGGTGCAGTGTATATTGTCCTGAAGCTGGGTCATTTTCACCCTTCCAAGCTGTATAAAAAACTTCATGACCAGTCTGCAAATTCCACCCAAGCTTCATTCCAGGTAACCACTGATCAGTTGGATGATCAAAACTTTGCCAGAGAAAATTCTGGGGGTTTTCATCTTCCGCATCTCTCAGCACCAGGTTCCTGAATCCAACAACACTGCAACCGGATTTTGCACCGATCTTTATGTTTTCACAGACCAAGCAATTAAAGCACCAGGTTCCCTTTTCCCCTTAATTAAAGCTGTCAATTCACAGCCTTTTCCCAAAAAGTTGAATCCACAATTCCAATGTCCTTTACATCCCGACCTGAGTATTTGGAGGATGTAAATTATGATAACTTAGTATCGGTACGCACCAGGAATCTGTCTACTTTGAGCATAACCTCACACTGCGGCTATCGAGATTCGAAATTATTATTATTATTATTATTATTATTATTATTATTATTATTATAAATACAGTCGATATGACTTTAACGCACTTTGACTTGAATGAGCATAACCAACCAAAAACCACAAAGAGATAATAACCAGCAGTCTAGACTCTAAATTATTACTATAGAGAGTTTAACTTAACTTCGTCCCAATCAACTTAGTTAGGAGTTGTCCTTTTTTGAAATCCTAGTATTACAGATGTTTGGTTGGAGAGATTTTAAATTCTCTTCTCACTTAATTCCCACCTAATTCCAAAGGCCATTAAATTCCGTAGTTTAGTTGGAGGGACCCATTTTCATGGAATTAAAATCCCATGTCCCCCTGAGATTTTAATTCCTGAAGAAAAAAGATAGTGATGAGTCAAAATTACCCCTTCCTTTTTTAACTTAAAATTAATGTCTAACAACAATAATGGACATTTTTGACTTTATACTACTTATTCCCTTTCAATTCCCATGTTTCAATTCCCATGTATACCAAACATTGGAATTAAAATTCCCAGTAATTCTATTCCTGTAAACCAAACACTGGAATTTAAATTCTCACTTTATTCCCAGTAATTCAACTCCCATGGAATTACAATCCCTTTCCCACATAATTCCCCCTCCAACCAAACGCCCTGTTACGATTTATTGTATCGAACAATTTTATTCCTTTGTGATATTTTAAAATTTGGTTGTTAAATGACATGATAATGTGATACACATGCAAAAATAATGTTCACATTTCTTAATTCTTATTGATGTCTGCATTTCAAATTTGTAAGCATCAATATAATTGATATAACAAGGATATCTTTTGCTATCTAAGTTTTCTCCAAATTGAGTTTAAATAAATCTAAATTATACAATTTTATTCCTTTGTGATATTTTAAAATTTGGTTGTTAAATGACATGATAATGTGATACACATGCAAAAATAATGTTCACATTTCTTAATTCTTATTGATGTCTGCATTTCAAATTTGTAAGCATCAATATAATTGATATAACAAGGATATCTTTTGCTATCTAAGTTTTCTCCAAATTAAATTTAAATAAATCTAAATTATACATTCAACGAGGACTCAATGTCGTAATAGTAATTTCATTTAGGGAACTTTTTGCATGTGTGCGTGGAGGATATTCCTTACCAAAGAAGAAGCCAGGCTCTTTAGCTTGAGGCAATGCAAAATCATTAACCAACATCTGAACTACAGAAGACATGTGTGGTCTATCCTCTGGAGATTGTTGTACACATAGAAGGGCGACATGGATTGACCGTAGAACTTGAACTACATCATATGGACCAGCTATATCCTTATCAACCAGTGCAATTGATTTTCCTTCTCTATAAAGCTTCCATGCCTATATAGTATTTAAATTCATATATACAAAGAAAAATGGAATATATAATCTAGACAAGAAAGAATGAATTAAATGAGACATAAAATGGAACACTTACATGTTCAGGAAGAGTCATGTATTGATCTTCATTGATAAACTCACTATTTCTCCTACCACTGACTATCTCAAGTACTGAAATGCCAAAGCTAAACACATCCGATTTAATGGAAAAGATTCCATGCCCGGCATATTCTGGAGACATATACCCACTACATAGTATAGGTGATACCTAATGAGAGGATGACATGAAACAAACATATGCAATAGATGTAGTGTAGTAGAAGATCTTAAGATGAAAATCAAATTCTTACTATGTTCCAGCAACTCGTTTTGTGTTATCTCCCATTGCATTTCCTACTATACTCCTAGCCAAGCCGAAGTCTGATATCTTTGGATTCAAATCAATATCAAGCAAAACATTACTAATTTTGAGATCTCTATGGATTATTCTTAGTCGGGAATCTTGATGGAGATATAATAACCATCGTGCAACTCCATTAATTATGTTGAAGCGTTTTGGCCAATCAAGCAACTTTTTCTTTGTTTGATCTGCAAAAGGTTTTCCTTAGTTTTGTTCCAAAGATTTATAATATAGAAGTGGTTATATAGTGGAGAAGATAACCATACCAAATATGAAAAAGCCCAAACTTTTGTTAGGCATGTACTCATAGATCAACATTTTTTCTTCTCCCCTAATGCAGCATCCCAGAAGCTTGACAAGATTCCTATGTTGTAATTTAGCAATGCAAATAACTTCATTCTTGAATTCTTCAAGTCCTTGTTTGGAATTCTTTGATAGCCTCTTAACAGCTATTTCTTCTCCCCCATCCAATGCACCCTAAGCATTTCAAATAAATAAAATAAGATTATGTACTTGCCCATTCAAGAAAGATGGGTTCGATTCCCACAAGTGACAATTTCCTTTGGGCTAGTCCTGTGCCTCCCGGAACGAAAGGGGATTAGTCGGGTGGATCTGGACCGTTAAACGGACAAAGAAAGACCCGGACTATCTCGTGGTTTATACACACACACACACACACACACACACACACACACACACAAAAAGATGCATCTACTTTTACCTTGTACACGACTCCAAATCCTCCTTGACCTAATTTGTTCATCTCTGAAAAATTATTTGTAGCTCTTGATATTGTTGACCAATCGAATATTGGTAGCTCTAATTCTTGCTTCAATTTTTGTTCTTTCCTTTTTCTTTTGCAGAAATACAAGAAAATATACACCCCAGCAAGAACTATTACAACCAGCAGCGACAAACAAAGCGCAAGGATTTTTATTTTCCTCCTGAATGAGGTTGAATGATGTGGCTCTGCTTTTAACCCTGTAGTTCAAAAAAACTTCTCTTATTTCTTCATTTTATTAACGATGAGAAAAACTCGCAACCATTACATGAAGGTGCGCATTAGGTAAACGTTTCCTTGTGACCTTAGACGGTAAAGGACCACAAGAAGGTAAATCACCTTAAATTGTTCATAATTGATTGACTTAAATTAAAAAGTCGATAAACCTCTCCCACGGAGAATTGAATTTAGAACTTTGTAATTACTAAGCCAACAGTTTGATCAACTTGGCTGAGTTGCTTCCTAATTTCTCTTATTTCTACTTTGTTGTCAGGCTATCAAACTGATAATAAACACATTAACTATACCTGGCATTTCTGGCATTTCAGAAGTAGCCAATCTGATGAACATATCTTGCCCATTATGTACTGTTCTCATATCAACCAAATCTCCATACCAAAACAAACACCCACTTCCTCCATTGCTTATATTGAGAGTGGAATAAGCCATACAAGAGCAATTCCTCAAGCAAACTTGTTCACATTCTTGAAGGCTCAGAGATTCATTATACCAAGAGTGCTTTGTATCTGGCAATTTGATATCAGAATATTTGAGGAATCCATCTGATGAAGATCCATTATTGTGGCAACTCAGGGGTTTTCTCCTATGGCATCCTCGTGGCAAGCTTCCTGTGGCTGTGGCATTATTATTAGGCAAAAATTTGTCTAAACATACACAACCATGAAGTTGCTGTATGTCGCAGACAGCATTTCCACCACATAAACCATATGTTCCACAAATATCTGCAGGTTGGCTACGAAAATTCACCCATTGCTTGATCTCATCTTCCCATACCCATGCTTTTAGAAAACCATTGCTTGTAACAACAAATCTAAATAAACCCAAATCATTACTGGGATTATACCGATAATAAACCTCCTTTTTATTTATAACCACTTCTTGTGGGTCAAGGGTGTTGGTGTTCTGTTCTACTGTTGATACACTAAAGCGCAAACCATTCCATGGACCTGTGCTAAAAATCTCAGTTGTTCCATTCTTGATAATAAATTGTGGATATCCAGTAGGAATCAGGTGCAGTGTATACTGGCCTGAAGCTGGGTCATTTTCACTCTTCCAAGCTGTTAAGAAAACCTCATGCCCAGTCTGCAAATTCCACCCAACCTTCGTTCGGGATAAAAAATTGTCAGTTGGATAATCAAAACTTTGCCAGAGAAAATTCTCGGGGCTTTCATCATCTGCATCTCTCACCACCAGGTTCCCTGAATCCAGCAACTCTGCAACCGGATTTTGCACCGATGATCTTGATGTGTTCGCAGACCAAACAGCCTGACCCTTGTCTCCAACAAGTGAAAGTTGGCCTCCCAGGGTGATCTTCAAGACTGCTGAAGATGTGTTAGCAAGTGGAGCATCTCTGTTTGCAACCCAAACCACTGTCTGAACAGGAATTTGGTTGTACCAGATTCCTACATATCGGTTTGAGGAATTGGTGGGACTAAAAAATCCCATCACAAAGGTTCCACCTTTTGAGATGATGGTATCCCCATCTTTCAGAAATTCCGTTCTTGAAATTATATCGATATCCTTTCCCAAGCAAATATTTGATATTGAAAGTAAGAATGACAAAACCAAAACTGGGAAAAGAACTTCCATGGCTACTGCAGATAGAGACTGGTAGAGGAATTTTTAGAATAGGCGAAAATGAAGATCAGACAATCAAGACCTCGTGTAAATGCAGGGAGGGATCTTTCCCTAATCACGTGTCTTGTGTGCTTTGCATGTTATCAAATTCACCTATTAAACCCATTATAATTGTTTTTTTCCCCTTCTCCCAAAAGGTTGAAACCCTAACCCTAAGGGCCCCCCACCCTGGCCCGACAGAGTATTTGCAAAGATGTAAATCACGGTGATTCAATAGTTCCGACAGAGTATTTGCGAGGATGTAAATCACGGTGATTCAATAGTTCAGCGAACAGGGTCAAAAGCTGGTGCGCACAAAGAATCTGTGAACATAATTCCCACACTGCTGCCGCCGAAATTCGAACCTTGGTTTCTTTTTCCAAATATTGCACACTGAACCATTGAGCTAAGCCCGTGCGGGCTTATAATTTTTTTTTTTTTGAGTGACCGACGTTGTGCACCGGGTATGTAAGTCTCTTGTGAACCTAACTGGCAAAAGAACATAATGTGTCAAAAAAACATCATATATTATCTATAACTAACTGACTCAAACTAAGAATG